CCTTTGCACACGAAAGATCCGATCCGGCTCTTTCACATAGCCTCGAATTATACGATACGAGAGTGATGTTGCATTTCCACAGTGCATGTGTAGGACTGCAAAGGGTTGTTCTGTTTCTTCGATTGAAATGCGGAAACAACCCAGAGAGTCGGAGTTTATTTCGGATAGATCGTAATTATTGAAATGAAGGTGCCATTTTTGTCAGGAGTCGTACAGGTCAGGTTCCAATAGGCAGCGGAGTGATTCGAATAGAGATCCGATTACCTGATGGTTTCCGGTTGGGCGATGGCTATGAAGAACAACTTGGTAGCTGACTTATGATTCTCCATCCATGGGAGAGTGAAACATTGTGATGATGGTAATTGAAAGGCAATTGTGGGAAAGGCAATTAAGTAAATGGTCTCGTAGAAATAGCTGATTTCTGTGATATACAAATTAAAAGATTTCTTTTCGGAACTGTTGGACCATGAAGGCATACATAGAGAATATTAATGAGTTAACCATTATCTTGGCATTCCTGGATATAGTGCAAGTGCATGCATGCATGTGCTCTGCCGCTCAACCTAAGTCGGTCCCATTTGAGTTTTTGTCAAAACTGAATTTTTCAATGGAAGTGTTAGCTAATCACCCATAAATTCATTATAGGGCAAGGTGGGGTTAAACGCGCCACGGGGTAATATTACCAACAGTGTTTTTTCTCATACTATTAAAAGTCTAATGAATACAAATAGTTTGCCAAATGATAGTTCAGTAGCCCTTCTAGCGATTTTGGGTGAAAACCCATTAAAATTGTTTTGGAAAACACGTAAATGAGCACTGTTGATCATATTACCCCATGGAGCGTATTATCTTACCCCCTGTAATGAGATCCAGTTCCTGAAACTGCCGAAAAAATCACCAGTGCTGATGCTCCATAGCATATGCCAACTTCATACAAATAACCACTAGCGTGCGCAGGAATTTTGTTAAGGAGGGGCATTTTTTTTTTCATTGGTGCATTTAATCTGGGGATGGGGAGTACTCCAAAGTACGTCGTACTGTCCTCCTCCCACTTTTTCTCTACTGTTCAATTAAGCTAATTTTATTTATTTTTTGCCGGTGGTGGATCATCTTCTTCAATGCAAACTGCTTTCAGACAGCCAATGAAAATTGGCAATTTAATCCCATCGACGATGTCGATTATGATCGGTTCGTCAAATGGTTGCGATAGTAGGGCTTTATCCGAAATTATACATTTGCTGCAATGTTGTTGCCTTGGTGGTTGAATCAGCTGAAGTCACGTCAGATGGTGGTGATAGCATCGACAAACCAAGATGAATGACCAATAAGAATCGCATTCTCCTTTCGCATGCACACTGCGTCGGCAAGTACAAGGCTCAAACAGTGCGCATAGCAGTGAACAAACAGTAAGTTGCTCTTGATCAATCCAATCTTGATCAGTGATATTGAGTACTTGGCACTGATGAAGTCTGCAAGTAGTAGACGTATCTGTCAAAAGATAAGCAATTATAACGGAATGTAAAGAAAATAAACCAACACACTCAAAGCTGTTCATCGACATATTCAGAGAAGATTTTTAGACGATTTTTTAGTAAGACAACAATCGACCTAGGTTCAATGGCAAACTAATACCCACTTTTCAATCAGGGAATCCAAAAGCTTTTTTTTTAGAACTCTATGAGCTCTTTTGAAATTCTTCTTAGAAATTCTCTGGAATTATTTTTAGAACTCTCCTTGACTTTTACTCAGAACACCTTGGAACTGAAATTCCCTGAGAGTTTCAGAAGAATTTCCCCAGTATTATCCAGAAATTATTCCCGGAATGAGCTAGAAACTATCGGTACTCCTTTGAAATTTTCCTCAAAATCCCTTTGGAATTTCATTCAAAATTTAATTTTCTCGGTATTATTTTCGGCATTATTTTAGAACTTGAACAGGATTCACTAGAAATTATTCGCAGAATTTTCTTGGAATACTCCCCAGACATTCTTTGGGATTTTTTTAGAACTCTCTTAAGATCTCTTTTGAAATTCTTCTCAGAAGTCCACTGAAATTATATTTCGAACTCTTTATGATTTATTCTCAGAACACCTTGGAACTGAATGCACCAGAAATTTTCCTCGGAATTCGCTTGAAATTTTGCTTAAAATCCCCTTGGAATTTCACTCAAAATTTGATTTTCTCGGTATTTTTTTCGAAATTATATTGGAATTATCTGCAGGATTTACTAGAAATTATCCGCAGAAAATTCTCCAGAAATATTTTGGAACTGTCCTAGGAATTCAATATCATTGAGGCTCTTCTCGGAATATTTTAGAACTTTTTTTTTTTTCTCAGAACACCTTGGAACTGAAATTCCCCGAAATTTTCAGAAGAATTTCCTCTGTATTCTCCAAAACTTCTTCCCAAAATGAGCTTGAAATTATCCTCGGATTTTCTCTGAAATTTTCCCCAACATGCCTCTGGAATTTCATTCAAAATTTGATTCTCTCGGTATTCTTTTCGAAATTATCTTGGAACTATCTGCAGGATTCACTAGAAATTATTCGCAAAATTTTCATTGAATCAACCCCAGAAATCTTTTCTTTTTGAACTTGTCTTCAACATTCAATACCCTTGAGGTTCTTCTCGGAAGTCAAGTTTAAGTTGTCCGTACATTTACCAAAACGTTGTAGTTTTTTCTACCAGAAATGTTCAATAAAGCTTGCCCCTCCATTCACCAGAACTGTGCAATGTTTCCATCAGGAATTTTTAATTCAGCTATTGCCTCAATGCAGCAAGTTGTTGCAAATCTTGCACCAGAAATTTTCAATACAACTTGCCCCAGAAAATTTCACACCAGAAAATTTCAATTGACCAGAACGATGCAAATTTTCCACCGTTAATGTTCAATAAAAATTGCTTCTCCAATCTTCTGATTGGTGCAGATATCCTTTTTCCATTTTCCACCAGACATTTTCAATATAGCTTGCTTCTCCTACCATCAGGATGTTACAGGTTTTCCACCAAATAAAGCTTGCCCCTATTTTCAGATTTTGCAGCATAAATTTTAAGTAAAGCAGCTTCCCTCCAATCATCAGAATGGTGCAAATTTTACACCAAAATTATTATTAAAGTTTGTTTCTCTATTGAGCAAAAGGATGTAAATTTGAGACCAAACCTTTTCCGAAAAGCTTAACCATCCATTCACCAGAACCAGCAGATTTTCCTCCAGAAGTTTTCAATATAGCTTAATTTAAATAAAGCTTGTGCCTTCATTTACTAGACCAGTGCAAGTTTTCCACCAGAAATTTTCTGTTCATTTCATTTATCAGAGCGATACAAATTTTGCACCAGAAATTTTCAATAAAGCATGCTCCTCCATTCACCAACACGGTGCACCAAAACTTGTCAGTGAAGTTTGTTTCACCATGCACCTTTGTGGAGCAATTTTCAGGCTTTGCCTCTTCAAATTTTCCACCATAAATGTTCAATGAAGCTTGCATTCATCAGAACGATGCAAATTATGCATCAAAAACATGAATAAAACTCGCTTCTACATTCACCGCAGTGTTGCGAACGTTCCACCAGAAATTGTCTGTTAAATGGGAACCTCCAAATTTTTTGTGTGTTTCAATTTTTCCACCAAAATTATTATTGGATGATATTTTTACACCAGAATTATTCAATAAAATGATTTTTCTACAATTTAACACCACGAAGGTGAATTTTTTCAACCTTAAATTTACCCTCTTCTTTTAACCCTCCATGAACCACCTTGGAAAAAAAATTACACCAGAATTTTTTTTGTATGCACCAAAAAATTTCTTTGAAGTTTGTCCATTCATGCACATTTTTGGTGCAATTTTTAGGCACCATCTCAAAGGTATTAACGCAATAAAAGGTTTTCAGTGTCCTTATAGTATGAAATGAAGTTTTTTTTTTTCAAATCAAGTTATCAAGAAATCAAGTTATTTAATATCATAATTTGGAAATGTGGAAATAAACATCTTATATATAAAAGGAGGGGAAATTGACCCACCTTGCCCTACCCTGTGCATGTCAGTGCATAGAACATTAAATGCGGCAAGGTGGCAGAACATTTAAAAGCCATTCTTAATTTCCCAAATTGATTTAGTTGTCTTCAAATTGACGAGCACAATTTGCGTGAATCATGCTTTCTATGTTTTCCGCAACGTAGCATTACATTTTACAAGTAGAGAAAAAGAAGGACCTGTCAAATTAGCCCCAGAGCACCAGAGAAATTAGGCTTCACTCGAGTCGTTCGCAGATGAAAAGCATTGCAATCCTGTGGTATTACCCTACCGCTTGAATTAAACAACTTTGTTCTGGAAAAGTTTAAAAAGAAAGAACTAAACGGGTTACCCCATTACATAAGAAGCAATGGTACGAAGTAAACTTAAAACGTGTTTTTCTCGGCTTGCTGATTTTTGCTATGGGACGCACTTGACATGAGCGGTAAGCTGATCACCCAACATGTCAATTTAGGTTGTGTCTAGGAAGCTTGGAGTTGCGGGAAAGGGAAACGTTCCAGTGGGAGCGTTATAAATTAGCTCATAAATCAACTCATTGTTAGTGAAATATGCGTATCAGCCAAGGATAAGCATGTATGATAGTGGAATTAACCTTTCAGTACTCGCAAAGCTATGTTATTTTCACCTTGAGAGCACTTCTTAAAACCTAATAATCTCCAAAATATTCTTCAAGTATTGGTCTATTGGACATGGGTATTCAATGTCATGGAACAAATATATTGAACAACCTCCAAAGCCAGTAGATTTTTTTTTCTCTGTACAACGGCACGAGTGCTGAAAGGTTAAACGGAGCTTTCTACTATAAGCTCCAATGCACTCAAGCATTGGCAACCTTTTGGTGGGGCAAGTGCACTGGGTGCACACGTACTCGTTATTGATGTTTTTGCCGAACCGTAACCGTCAGTTGCATATCAACATTCGATCTATCGACATCACACCTGAGCAACAGTTAAATTCTGCATAATTTCAAGCAACAATGTCAACCGAGTCCGAAGCTTACTTCAAACATGAAGACGGTGCCTATATTGCAGCCGATGGAAGTGACAGAGTTGCGTTCAGTTGGATCATGTTGATATGTAGAGTTGTAGTGCAAGTGACGTTGAATATCCCCAATTTCGCGAAAGATTTCATCAAGTCATACATTTGGGCACCGAAGAAATCCGTCAGGGGGTGCGTGACCGTTGTTAGTGGGGGTGGAAATGGGCTCGGTAGGGCATTATGTCTGAGGCTCGCTCAGGAAGGCTGTAAGGTTGCAGTGGCTGACATTGATTTGAAGAGTGCTATAAGAACTGCAGAAGACATCCGACAGACAGGGATGCAAGCCGAGGCATTCAAAGTGGACGTGAGTGATTTGCAGTCCGTGAAACGACTTAGAAAGGACGTGGAGGCCCGGTTGGGACCTGTGGAGATATTGATCAATAATGCTGGCTTGCTTGCTGTTTCTCACATGTCCGAAGGCTCTGCTGAAGATGTTCATCGAATCTTGAACGTTAATTTGGCATCCCATTTCTGGGTAATTCATACTTGACCGTTATTGTTTATCCAAATTCGACGGCTCATTCCAATTCTAGATGATTCGTGAATTCAAACCTAAAATGCTGCAGAGAAACGGAGGTCACATAGTAGGAATCAGTTCCGTTCTCGGTAGGTGCGACAAAAGGATTTTCATGCTGTTCGTACCAAATTAACGATCATTCTAGGTTACATCCCGAACTATCGAACAATTGCCTACAGTGCCACAAAATTTGGAATACGCGGAATGATGGAATCGCTGGGTGATGAGCTCTACATTAGCGGGCACAGTGAGAAAGTGATCACCACTTGTGTTTATCCCAGTCTGCTGGCCACCCGGAAGGATTTCATCAAGATGGTTAATGACATTGGGTTAGTTTCGGCGTTCACCAGGAGGGGTGGCGAGAGAATCATTAAAATGGCTTCAATTTTCAGAATTATGCAAGAATCCATGTCTCCGGAACAAGCGGCCGAAATCGTGGTGGATGGAGTGTTGCGAAACAGAAGTGAAATCATTTTGACATCGCTTCCCCTGCGGATTTTGATCAAGATGCATGTGTTAGTGTGAATCGTCTTGTGAAAGCATTTCAAAAGTATTTACGTGCATTTTTTTATGTTTAGATTTTGCCCAGCGAGAATGCGTCGCATTTTTTCCAAATGTATCTGTAGCAATACAAACAAATAAACCCAGTCCAGGTGACGTGAGGCGCAGATTTTCGGCCCGTGATTATTCTTTTGGTTTAGTATTGCTGATCCACAGAAAACTTATAATTTGGAGGAGTGAAGAAGAAGAATAAGAAGAAGACAAATAAGAAGAATAATAATAAGAGTCTGTACTGCTTTACACTAAACGAAAATATCAAAGTAAAATCGACCACAAACTTTAAATAATGTTAAATGCTTAATGTAGATTGTTAAATGGTGAATTTTAATTTGAAATCTTTAAATTTTAAATGTTGAAATTTGAAACGTCTTTATTTTAATTTTAACATTTACAATATTAGCTCATCCCTTCGAAGAAACTGTCTTGCATGCAGCTCCACTTAATAGCCAGATCAATTTGAGTTACCGATCTGAATTCACAATACCGCTGTATGAAGCGCAGGCTTGGGAATTGTCAACCTCATGACGATAAACTATGTAACAAAGACAACAACAAAAAGTCAACGCTCATCTAACAAACACGATGCAACAAACTTCTGCTTGAAAGACTGATCTACTGGGCTGTCTCTCGACGAAACATTTTCTATTCAAGATAAACATTTCAAAAGGTCCTATCAGCATTGATCGATTCTCTTCATAGACTTTATCTTTCTCTGTTGTATTTGACGTTCTGGACGCTACACACTACGAAAATGTCATGTTAATTTTCGAGCCCTGAGACCGACACATGCAAGCGGCCCAAATGACATAAGAGTCAGTTGAAAGAGACGAGAAAATCAATTCAATCAATCGTAATTTTCGTCGAGTTGCGTGTGCTTCAGTTTAGGAACACTTAATTGTACATGACATGTTGGTTTACGTTCCATAATTTACGTCAAAGATGGATTACGTCTCGTGTAAAAATAGTTATTTCTTAGTGTGTAGATAAGAACCTCCTTCATCAAACTTTGTGGTAGAATTTGCGCGAAATCTGTCTGCAAAGCAGTGGTTATGAAAAGAGAAAGTCGATGAAGAGAATCGATCAAAGCAGATAGGACCATTTCAAATTTTCATCGAGTATTCTTGTCATTCTCTCATTTGGTCGCGAAACATCTGTTGCGTGACGGTTTCCAGAACGACTTAGTAGTTTCACATACGTCGGACGACAAGATTGATGGAAACTGTTGACACGGTTATTAACGAAAAATGTCTGTCACGTCATTCTTCCACTCTGTCGCGACAAAACTGCCGCTTGTCGTTCCGTTTTCTAGTAAATGCATGTCGCTTTGCATACGAGACATAACAAGATTGAAATAACTGGAATTGTGTTGTTTTGACGGTATTTCACCTCTGACTCCAAGTATGTAGCTTGAATCTTGACGCTGAACTTCGTGTTTGCAAGTATCTAATAGCGATTTTGGTTTTGATTCATTTCCAACCTAAATCGGGTATCAAGATTGGGTTGGCTTGTTGTCTGTCAAATGTTACTGTAAACGTTTGTTTTTGTAACCTGGCTCGGGTTGAGGTTCGCACTCGGGTTCGCACGGGTTGGAACTGGTTCCAACCTGGATAATAAACAAATTCGCTATAAGTGATTTCTAGTGATGGGTATTTTTGGAACGGACACGACTAGAAGCTGGCGAAAATCGATGTCCGACGCCATTTTGGAATCCAAGATGGCGGCTTCCGGTTTCAGAAAAAGTGGGAAATACTGCCAAATACCCTTCAATATGGATATTTTCGGAATCGGGATGACGTCTAAAACCCGTAAATCGATTTCCGACGCCATTTGAAATCCAAGATGGCGGCTTTCGGTTTCAGAAAAAGTGGGAGATACTGCCAAATACCCTTCAATATGTATATTTTTGGAACTGGTTCGATGTGTACATCCTGAAAATTGATGTCTGACGCCATTTTGGAATCCAAGATAGCGGCCGTTGTGTTTTGAAAAGCTGTCAAATTCTATGGATATTTTCAGTACAGGACGCGTGTAGATGCCGAAAGAATAAGGTCGCGCTTGAAAGCTGACGTGTTTTTCTTTTGCTGCGTATTTTGCGTCAGCGAATTAAACTTTTTTTGACTTGAATTTGTTAATTTGTGTGCTGAAATTTAGTTTCAAGTGTTCATATAGTTATCATTTAGTGATATATCGTTTTTTTTTCCTGTGTTGAGGCATCCAGTATTGAAGCCAAATAAGATTAAAAAAGAGAAGAATATAGTAAGTGAAAAATAGAAACATGCAGTGACAAAATAATGAAGCAAGAAAAAAAGGTCCGTCTTGAGTGCTTCGGTTGACCTTGAATTTAACCTCCAAAATCTTCGTGGCAGCTCCTCCCGGGAGCCCGGTTCTCCGAGTTCGGATGCCACACTTTCAGCGCGTAGTTCTATTGAGAGATTCGTCACCGCGGACGAGTTTTTATCCGGTCCGATTGGTGAATTAGCCCGGGCAAGTGCTGATAATGTGTCCGTCGCGAGTTTTGATGGTGATTCGGTGGCAGACGTTGCCGCTTGCAAAAGTGTTCGGCTGCTGGTCTCTTGACGATGTCGGAGATTGCGACTAATCTGAAAAATGCCTCGCTCAAGACGACGGGGTGTAACTGATGGTCGCGAACGGTTCCTAGGAAAAGCACTTGACGCGAACATCCTCCCAGGCATTGCAGTGCAAGAAAATTTGTGTTCGGAACTACGTAACCCATGGATTGGGAGATCAAATTAACATGGTGAGACCAGTCCAAATACTTTTTACAATAAAAAACATAAACTAAATAGGGGAAATGTAGGTAATGTTGGCCTACACGCAAACCAAAAATCTATTACAATGAATGTTAGTTCCGTTTCCTATCTTCCTCTGTTCATGAACATCGCAACGAACGTTAGAAATTGACCATGCAGGCGATGTAATGGTTTTTTGTCTTTTATATTTCGTGTTCTATCTACGCTTTCGACTATACCAGTAAGCTTGTAGAACGACGCACATTGAAGAACATTGTAAAACGACGCACACACTTGCCTCGAATCTCTCCAGCAGAAAAAGCATACGAAGTCGAGTATGCGAGAAAATGAGCGCTTCATGTTTGCTTTAAGGCTATCCATATTCTGAAGCATTTAGAGAGCAATGGAGAAAGCACAGGTCTGATAATCGCAACGTTCGTGGTTCTTCGAGTCCAGTCGGAAATCTGTTTTCTATTTTTTTCGACAACTAATTTACCTCACTAATACACTCTACATTTTTCGGTCTCCAATTTTCTTGCAATGGATCGCAGCTAGGTATATCGCATCCTCGGTTCATGCGGTCTCCACTAACATCCTCTGATGATGAATCTCACATAATTGTAAGCGAATCTTACATCCCCCGGTTGGGTGTACATGTCCCTAATTTGGGCCCATCGCTAAAAGTCTGCTATTTGTCAATTTTATCTAGATGAACGCGTTATTGGGACGTTACTAATGGATATTTTTGGTTGCTATTGAAAATTTAGTTGATTGCTGAATTTATGTATGGGCCCAAATTAGGGACACTTAGGCCGACATTACCTGCATTTCCCCTACGTGCCAGGATTCAAAAGAACATTTTGAAGCTGGAAGTGTGTGTGTAATACTAATATCCAATTGATAGAGGTAATACATACATGCGGGGCTTATTGTAAGTGAATGTAACCTCGGAATGGGCGTGACCCTCCAGACATTCTGAAATGGGTTGCTGGATCTGCAATAGAGCTATCACCGTCTAACTCCCGGACTGAAGCTGTCTACAATAACCATAAATGCGACATTGTAGAGAGAGCTCTTCCATAATAACACTGCCGGCTAGT